GCAGGCAGCAACAAGCGGATAGAAGTTTGTATAACCATTAACTATTATGCAATCTTCTGACTGATAACTCACCTATCTGAGAGTGCTACGTCTATCGGGATGTTTTCTCACTTTCCAATGTTATTCGTGAACTGAACATCCCATGTGGGCCCACTCAAATGTTTGAGAATTGCGATCACAATAGGAGTCGGAAGGAATCGATAAATCGGTTCCAAGAAAAGAATGGATACCATGAATTTAAATCACCGAAAAGAGCTATTTGGCTCAGCTTTCATCCACTCACATACCTCATAAATACATGCGTTATTACAGTGTGTCTATTTTTCGCTCTGTTTTATTCAATAGACAGGAGGAATTTTAATGAGAATTGTGATTAGACGTTCTAAATTTCCACTAAAGGTAAACAGAGCTGGAGGGAAATTTCATTTGGACAATGGATAATCCGAACTTAATTGCATTTTACGTTAATCATTCCTAATGGTCGTTCTACAGATTGATGTCCAGATTAAAAAGGATTTAAAAATGATAGCATCGCATAGTTAATTTAACCCTTTAGTTGACTGGACAATCACATACAAACTAACAATAACTATATCAACCGTAATCGCATCACCAATCAGGTTAGAGATACTGTTATCAACACGTCACAATTAAACGTCACCTTTAAGCAACTAGAGCATATAGCTTATTCACTGAATCAAAGCAGTTACGTGACAAAGTCAAATAATGACAGTGACGCGCATGGTTGCCACATTAATTAAAACTACTAGATCCTAGGGCGTTTAACAAAATGTATTCGATGTCTAGACACTAGAGCTAGTATAAATTCTATTTACTACCTAATACCTCTCTTACGGACTGTAAAGGCAATAATGGAGCTCCATGATCTCGTTCGGTCTCAAAATATTTCGCCAAAGAAGTGACGAATTCTTTTGTTTGACGATCCAGAGGTTTCGGGATTTTAGCAAAATCCTTAAAAAGCATGAAGTTTTGAAAAAAACTGTTTTTATAAAATAACAATGCAAATATTAAGACAAAAAGAACGGAAATAAACCACAAATAAATAACAGTCGTTGGCGTAATTACTTGGCAAGCTTGACAATACAGAAAACTGTTACCAACATAAATGTACCCGGAAAATTCAAACTATACGTATCAATTTAGGATTTTGCATTAAGGTTCAAATTTACTAAATATGACGTACTTAAGTGCTCTGTTTCAGTGAATGAACTATACACGAGGCTGTTTCATATGCGTTCAGTTTTCTAAGGTGTCCGTCATACTAGTTTTAATTATATACGAGTATGTCCTATAATCTCTATTGAACATGTCGTCGTCCATAACACGAAGTGGCGTATCTGATTTTTTCCAATTTTACAGGAGAGCGTTTTAAATATTCTCATGAGATTTGAGTTGTTGCTGACAAAAAGGTATTATTGCTACATAATTGAATTTGTGGGTATATCGGTATATCTTTTGAAACATGAGCAACGATTAACCCATTTTTTATTTTATGTGTTCAAAATTTCAAAAAAGTAGATACGTCATTTTGTGAAATTGAAGGGTCGTAATTCATAGAATAAAGACATAGTTACGTCCGCGTTACATTAAGGTGATGAAAAATCAAAACACATGAAATTTGAAGAAAAAAATGTTTTATTACAAGACAAAATGGTTACAAAAGGTGAATACACTGACTTATGCCGCTTCGTGGTATTGAAGAGTAACCTTTTTTAAGTAATAAAATCGAGTTAACTCAATTTTCGTATTTCCTGAGATACTTCGTGTTATTAGCGACGATGTGTTCTGCAACACTAGGTTTTTTTTACTATAGTACCGTGGCCGTAGGATCATTTCTCACAACACCCAATGCTTTTCTTGCTTAGCATACTGGTAACAAAATCAAGATCAGCGAACAGACGTAATATCTCATTTTATAATTTTTTCTCGGTCACAATACTTCGTCGCCAATTTTCGTGGGAAGTAAAAATGAATGACCCACAATAATGTATTTTGCTTTAACATGGGTCATTGACGTTTGCCTTCCGTCGCCTATGACATCAGAGAAGAGGGGTCGAGGGACGGAAGCCTTCGTCTTCGGCCCCCGGAGGCTCGTTGCCTAGCCGGATGGCCGTTCCCGCTCAACCGGTGTCTCTTTCATTCAGTTTCGACTGTTCGCCGACCAAGCGGTGTTGCCACGTTCGCGGCTTTTTTCATTAACGCCATCGCCAGCCAGGCTGACGCCGGTGCCGCTTTAACGCCACGCGTCGACCGGCACGTGGCCTGGGAATTCCCTTGGCACCCGCTGACTCACGCCTCGCCGCCTACTAGATATTGGGGTAGCGAGGTGGACACACATTTTTCTTATCTTACATACAGGGTTTGTCCGGACAGTAATAGGACTGAGTCGATTTAAAAAAATTTATTGAGCCAATCGTTAAAATTCCTTAAAAACTTTCAATATAGGCTAATTCTGCGTCGATGCAGCGCTGCCAGTGCGATTTCCAAGCACTGAAGGCGTCACGGAAGGCATTCTCCGGAATAGCCTTGAGAGCCGCGGTGCATGCTGCTTGGATCCCCTCTGTCGTCTCAAAATGCTTGCCTTTCATCGGCCCAGGCGAGGAAACAAAAAAAAGTCCGGGAGGGTCACATCTGAGCTGTAGGGCGGCTGAGGAAGCGTTGGGATGCCGGCCTTGGTCAGGTAGCTGTTCACAAGAAAGGCGGTGTGAGCCGGGGCGTTGTCGTGGTGCAACTGCCAGTCGGCTGCGATGTCTTGTCGGACCCGACTGACCCTTTGTTTGAGTCTCCTGAGCACTTCCACGTCAAACTTGGCGTTGACGGTTTGTCCAGGAGGAACAAATTCATTTTGGACGATACCTTTGATGTCAAAAAAGACAATGAGCATCGTTTTCACTTTGGATTCTTCCCTTTTTTAGGCGAGGAGACGCCGTCGTGTGCCAATCGGAAGATTGCCTCTTTGTCTCGGGATCATATTCAAAGATCCACGATTCGTCACCTGTGATTACGTTATTCAAAAATTGGAGGTCAGTTTCACACATGTTCAAATTTTCTTGGCACAATCTTCGCACACACCTTGCGCATGTTCAAATGCTGTGTCACAATGTCATGAACCACAGATTTTGGTAAATTTAACATCTGGGCAATTAAACGAATACTTAGTCGACGGTCTGAGTTCAAAACTTTGCGCACACGAGTCACATTATCGGTGTTTGTCGAAGTCGAAGGTCTTCCAGCACGGTGTTCATCAGCGACCTCTTCCCGGCCCTCCAAAAAGGCCTGGTGCCACCGAAACACACCACTTCTTGGTAAAGCAACACCTGGGTAAGCCTGCTTGATCATATTAAACGTCTCTGTCGCAGATTTACCGAGTTTCACACAGAATTTAATCGCGTACCTCTGCTATAATGAACGCTGCATTTTCGGCTTGCACCACTCACAGAAACACGTCGCGCGAAAATGCCTGTCCTGACTCTCCAAGTGCTCGGAGACAACTGACCAGCCGCTCATTCGTTAGCTAGGAACGCCCTCTACCGAATCCAGTCGGTACGCTCCGAAGTACAGTCATTGTGGAAGAAAATGAGTCCTATTACTTTCCGGACAAACCCTGTACAGCAGTCCGGAGAGCAATCTGACTGACTTTTCTTTACACCGAAACAGCCGCGCAGGCAGAAGCCTAAATGCCAGTGCACTGCGGCTGCCATGAGGTCAAAGAAACTTTGTTCATCCTAACTGGTCAAGTGTAGTTAGCGACAATAAGCAAGTATGATATTACTTATTACAAATGTATTTATATACAGGGTGTCCCAGAAATAACATGCCAGAGGTAGATTTGTTGCAGAACAATCAGATAAAATCAACATGACCTTAGTAAAAGCTTTCTGGTTTTAGAGATATTGCCACTTTTGAGCTTTTTCAAAAAATCACTACTTTTTTGCCTGATACGGCTATAAAGAACTTATAACTTATTTATTTCCTGGGCTACCACTAATAGTTGGTTGAGACAACTGAGTATTCATTTCATTCAAAACTAGCACGGTATGCTGAAAAATAAACTATTACATTTTGTTTCAATGTGAAAACCTTTACTAAAGTTTGACTAATTACTGTGAAAAAAAATGTACCCGACTGGATCGGCAAATGATCTTAAAAACTTCAATTTACTTAAAGTTGGAATCATTCAGTTTTCAGTAAACAGAACCTACAAATGTTGTAATACTATTTTTGAAAGAGCATTAAATAGCTAGTTTTTTAGGTCATTTATTATATGAGCAATGCAACAACCTCCGCAGCAAGTATCCAGCATCCAAAAAATCAATGAAACCTACCATCATACTACTGAAAATGAGATACTCTTAGTACAGAATATAAGTTACTACACAATGACACAAATTTCAAAACCCCAGTGCGTGTGATTTTCCAGATTTAATTTATAATTTAAAAAAAGGTATGGTGGATGTTTCTATACTTTTTTTTAATTATAGTGATATGTTTTGTGTTGCATAACTGTTTTTAGGAAGAAACAAATTAGGATCTTACATCCCTGAAACATTTTTTAACACGCTTTTATTAGCTTGGCCTGTATGTATATGTATGTATTGATAACAGTTTTCCATTATCCTTATTCATAAGTAAAATTATATAAAAGGCAGATATGTTAATCAAAATCCACGAATTTCAAATTCCGCTTTACGAATATTGACACTACAAGCCTCTGTAGTGGCAGAGAACTGGTCTTGTAAACCAGGGGTCGTGAGTTCAATCCCCACAGGATGCAGATTATGGTATACTTTTTTTATTTTTTTAACACGCTTTTTAACACGCTTTAAGTAGCTTGACCTGTATGTATGTATGTATGTATATAACAGAATCTCATTGAGCATAATTTTCATCAATGCGGAGGCAGATACTTTTTCAAGGTAGTGCATTCTCACCTTGTTCATTGCGAATGTTGCCATTAATCCCCAGTTGGGCTTCAACCATCCACAAGATGCAAGGTTGTACAGTCGGTCATGCAGTCATTTATCTAGGCTCGCGACTGTTTGCTGCTGGACCAGCTTATGTAGCACTAAGTCGTGTAAGATCCTTAGACGGTATTCGGATTGGAGGACTTGATTGCTCTAAGTATACAAGGAAAACCCCATGCACCAGTGAAGCTTTAAATGAAATGATTAGATTACGAAATGCATCGTAAAACATTTCAATACCACGTGTACACAAAAAGCTAATTGATAAATCGGACTAAAAAATGAAAAATAAAAAAAACTAAAAACACGCTTTTATAGATAACCGAACTCAAAAGTAGAAAATAATTTGTAATTACAAAGAGTTTAAATTACAGCAGTAGATGGTCGAACAATCAATCATAATTAATGACCTCAAAGTAGAATTATAATAAAATTTAAGTTATTAACAGAATAATTTGACTACATTTTCATAACTCTTCTCTCATAGGTAGTTGCCAACAGAATGATTGTAAAATTTAATATATCAAGCACCCCACGCTTTTTACTCTGAATTGAATTATTCTGTTAATAACTTAAATTTATAATTTTATTCTGACGTCATTAATGATTCTTCGACTATCTACTACTATAATATAAAATCTTTGTAATTAAGAGGTATTTTCTACTTTTTAGTTGATTTAGCTATCAAGGCTGTTTTTTAGTTTATTTGGGGTGGATTTCACCAGGATTGTCAAATCAACAGTCCGTTATTCTCCACTTATAGGGTAACAGTCCGTCAAATACAGCGAATGAGCTTCAAGTTCCAATCAACAGATCTTAGCAACCAATAGCTATGAAATGTTGAAAACAAAATACTGTCAAAGTATGAGATGACTGCTTGTCATTGAAACATCACCAGCTTATTGAATATTAAGAAATTACTTATGATTTAGTCAAAATTTAAAAAAGTGTTCGATTTTTGAATAAAATTCATGTTTTTATTTAATATTGTCGGTTGTTTATTAATGTTTATATTATTTTCTTCAATTGACATGCGATTTTACTGATTCAACATCACCTACCGTGTATTTTTTCCTATAAACATCTTACAGAAGCCATTAAGCACCTACTTGATGACAGGCTCTACCAAAAATTTCATAGATATTGCTCGATTCCAAACATTCATTCATTTACTTGCCGTTCATCAGTACCATTATAGCACCGTCAATTGATATTCCCACAAAATCATTCAGGATTTTTGAAATCCATACATCCATAGTCAAATATTTTTTGGTTGTTCAGGAACTGAACAAACATCCACGCTATATTTACAGTGATTAAGAAATACTCAAATATATGTCGTAAAGCTACCGGCAAACTTAAAACCTGCAGATAAACTAGAAATTTGCAATATTTTTCTTTTTTCACTGAGTAGATATTCTGGGTTATATTTATATTAGACGCTTTTTGAATACAGCTGATTATTGCATTTCAAGGAGTGACACATGTGTGGGCTCTGCCAACTCTTGGTACCAGTCACAAAACAACTCTGAAGGTTTAATTCCATGCTATTCAATCACAACACGGTGACTTGTGTGGTTGTCAGCGGCCATTTTGTGAGGGTGCGATAGGGTTGCCAGATTGTGCATTAATATCCCGTTGCAATAACTTTCTTGTTATATTTATATTAGACATTATTTGAGTAACAGCTGATTATTACATTTCAAAACTCCCCAACGAGTGACACATGTGTGGGATCCGTCAACCCTTGGTCCCGGTGGAGTAAGCTCCGCCAACTGTTGAAATATACTCTAATATGCCTTATAAGACTATACGTAGAATTTTTCCCAAAATCGTTGCACAACACTTGAAAAATGCAAATGAAAATTTAAAATTATTTCCATGACGCCGCAAAATGGCTCCGTCGGTACCTCGGGTTTATACATCTTGACAGTAGGGATGTTCGATACGATCCCAAATTTAGAAGTATGGATACCTTTCACTAGTATCGTCATCTTTCGATCCGGTCTGTGTCATAAAGAGTGACTAACCTCAGATTACTTTTCTTCTTTGTTTCCTTCCGCTGGATATCGATAATTTTATTCCAATATTTTTCGAAACTTCCTAAAATGATAAGAATCGATACATAACGATACTTTTCGTGGATCTAAACATCCCTAATCTTGACAGCTTGTCGTTCTTGTCAACTGGGCTGCAGGGTGCGGTGTTGCCTTTTCTATCTTACATTTTCCTAAAATCTTATGACAAATAAAAGCTTCAAATGAAATATTGACGAATATGAACGGATATGCATAGAATTTAGAATATAAATTCATATTGCAAATTTCAGATTGTCTATGCATTTACTTGAACCGGATTTTCCGGTATTTTTACCGAAAAGAGAATATTTACCGATAACATCATTCTCCACGATTTTTCAAAATAATTTAAATATTTCTATACTTGCCGAAAAAGAGCTGAAACTAAAAATAAAGCTAAAAGGTAATTTTATGTAGTCTTCATAGTTTTATGCCCCATATCAATCATACATGTGCATACACACTCAGGCAGTCGGGCACATGAGAGGCGTAGATTTGGGTTGCCTATGATTACGAACGCACATCCTCATCCCTTACTCCGCTTGCCCTGAATTGATTTTTGTACATACAAAAGGTACAGACTGGTAGATTACCGTCATTATCTCATCATCGGACAAGCAATAAAGAAACCGAAACCTGTCTGTTTTCAAAATAAATATTTAATTAAAATGAGAGGTGAGTACATGAGTTCAAGGGTAAAACAGAAAAATATTCACAATCCTATAAACAAGAATCGAAAAAGGAGTTTCCAGAATGGTTGCAAAGTATGCACACTGTAGAAGTTGTAATATAGAACTATGCCCTCAAAAACAGGTTGTGTGCGCGCCCAATACAATAACAGACGTTTTTCATGACTCAAAGGTCCTTGATCTACCACTGATCTTGGGACGGCATTTTCCTTATACCGAATTCAACGACAGTATTTACCGATTCCGTTTTTTGCCGGTTCGGCAACACTGCAGATGTGCAGATCAATTTAAAAGCAATTGATATCCCAGACGTGTTATAATAATAGAAATACTACGAAAATATAACAATGTTTGGAGATAATATTTCCATAAATAGGTATTTTTGATTCGGCCTGATAATATCTAGACAATGAATACTAGGTGGATGCGGATACTTTTACAAATATGCATCTTTTAGGACCCAGAAATGCAGAATGTGCTGTTTGTTTACTTTTGTTGTGGATTTCTAGATCATAAATTGGCAAAAATTGATTTTGATGATGAACCAGTTGGAATACGTTTTATATCTTTTTTTTGCAAAATAACAAAAATTGGTACATTTCTATAGGTACGTATTATGTACAACACCCTGTACGTGATATACAGACAAAACTATATTGCCATGCATGAACAGTCGTCAAAAACAGTGAAAACATCCTACCAAATATAATAGCTAGAATATCGACCTATTATTTCTCTAATTTTCATTGGTCCATTTAAATAACTTTTCTGAAATGACCGTCAAATATTAATGTTGGTGAAATTGGCCCTAAAACTATTATTTATTTTGCTGTTAAGACTGGCGCAAATATATCCCAAATACCCTCTCTATTCGCCGACAATGGTGGAAACATATAATGGACGTGGTGTTTGATCAGAAAGCGAAGTAAACAGCAACAACGGCGGTATCTGACGAAAGTTTCAAATGTAATAAACGGATGTGTTCAGCGCGATTATGTTTTAATGTTTGCTGTTTGCACAGACCATAGACCCGTGGTCTGGTTGCTAAATGTACATAATCTGATAATCAGTAACGATAGATCCTGTTTCAAATTTATACCCATTCGCAGCATTGCCGCCGAATCTGATCAGTTCGTGGTCAGATTATTGTTGGGTTATTGCGTACTTGGAATCATTCGACTGGAATGATAATGTTGAATTGCTTTCAATCCAGAGTATCTACCGTCGAACACGAATGTTTTCTTCAAACATACAGTATGCAACCATAATTTCACGGCATCTTTCCTATTTTTACTGCTGATTAAACGTCCACAGTTTTATGGGTTCATAATCAGCGTCCCCGATCTTTTAACCTGTTTGAGGATAGGAAATATAATTAATTTCGAGCGTGTTCATACTCCAACTACCACGAATGCCTAAACACCCATTGGGTACCGTGGGGCTATAGGGGGATACAGGGGAAAGGGGGAACACCACACGGCAAGGGAACACGTGTGCATGCAACATGCACACATTCTGGCTCCGCCGGGTGGTACCTCCGCGTTCTACAGTTAGAGACCGTCTACCACCTATGGACAAACACAACATCCAAAATGTCTCCTGGGGCGGGATTCGTACCCGCACAGCGCACGGCGACTGATCAGGAGACCGAAGAGTCTACTACTGCGGCCACCGCTGCTGCCTGAACCTAAACTGAAACAAGTACTTTTTTTTATACTCCAACTGCCACGAAGGCCTAAACACCCATTGGGTACCGTGGGGCTATAGGGGGATACAGGGGAAAGGGGGAACACCACACGGCAAGGGAACACGTGTGCATGCAACAGGCACTCATTCTGGCTCCGCCGAAAAGATCCGCCGGGTGGTACCTCCGCGTTCGACAGTCAGAGACCCTCTACCACCGAAGAGTCTACTAACTACTGCGGCCACCGCTGCTGTCTGAAACTAAACTGAAACAAGTACTTTTTTTTATACTTCAACTACCACGAAGGCCTAAACACCCATTGGGTACCGTGGGGCTATAGGGGGATACAAGGGAAGGGGGAACGCCACATCGACTCTGGCGAGGGAACACGTGTGCATGCAACATGCACACATTCTGACTCCGCCTACGAGATCCGCTGGGTGGTACCTCCGCGTTCGACAGTCAGTGACCACCTATGGACAATCACAACGTCCATAGCCAAGAGAAAAATTTCTCCTGGGACGGGATTCGTACCCGCACAGCGCATGGCGACTGATCAGGAGACCGAAGAGTCAACTACTGCGGCCACCGCTGCTGCCTGTATCCTAAGCAAAGCTCTAAAATTTAACTAGCCAGGGGATAACAACTTACAGGTTTTACCATTTACTTCAGTTTTTACAAAATTATAAAGCATTGTTTTTGCGGGGCATCCCCTTCCTACCATTTCCACATGGTGACAAACAGTTGCTATTCTGAGCTGAGAGATCAAAGATTTTTTTCGAAATTCTTATCAATTATTCAGTACTCAGTATAATGGGTAAAGT